GCAAGTGTTACCTTATATAAAAAAAAGAGACTCTTTTCAGATGTGATTTAATGAAGGATCTTGAGATGGAGAGATTATCCTGGATTATCTAAGTGGACTGTAATGGCTCTGCAAGTGTACCTGTAAGAGAGAAACAGAGGGAGATTTCTCTCTCTTTCTCTCTCTCTCTTTCTCTCTCTCTCTCTCTCTCTCTCTCTCACACACACACACACACACACACACACACACACACACAGGAGAAGGCCATGTGAAACCAGAGGCAAAGATTGGAGTAATGCAGCCATGAACCAAGGAGTGTCAACAGCCACCAGAAGCTGGAAGGGGCAAGGAGCAGATTTTCCCCTAGAGCCTCTGGAGGGAGTGTGGTCCTGCTGACACTTTGATTTTGGCCCATTGATACTGATTTTGGACTTCTGGTCTCCAGAACTGTGAGATAATAAATTTCTGCTGTTTTAAGCCACAAAATTTGTCATAATTCCTTATGGTAACCACAGGAAATTAAGGCAGAACTTAGGAAGGTGAGGGGAAGGTCTGAGGTGTGTACCACTGAAGGTGTTGGCTACCAGCGCTTTGAGGCAGGGAGAGACACTCACTGAGAAAAGCCCACTTTCAGGTGTTGTGTCCTCCGTTTGGTCGAACCCCCGGTTTCCCTCACCTTGCTCACTCATTGGCTTCTGCTGGTTTTGACAATGGCCAGTATTTATGCTGTTCTTATTGTGGGTTTGCCAAACTCTGCTCCAGGTTCTGAGCACAAGGCAGTGAACGAGGCTGGGGGATCCCTGCCATCACAGCGTTCCAGTCCTGGTCCGGTGGAAATGCACCAGCCCTCAGCCTGTGTCTTAGCATCTGTTCTTGCTGTCACTCACACTTGGATTTAGCCGTGGGATTGCAGCGTTCTGACCTTAACCTGTTCTTCTACTTGTTTTCAGCTTTGGCTATTTCCTGGTCCCCACTCCTCTTCCATCTACTCCTTTCATTTTCCAGGGTTGGCACTTGGCTCCTGCTGTATGCCCGGCCCAGCCTGGCACTTTTGGATCAGCTGATGCCAACTGCTCCATTATCCAGCACCTCATCGTGGACCCATCCACAGTGTGCGATTCTGTTTTCTGGCCTGGTCTCTTAACATCCTGCTTTGCCTCCTGAGTATAACTTCACATTCGTTCTTGGATTTTTACCACTGCTTTTGATCTCCTGGCTCTGATCCCAAATCTAAAAGGTGTTAGCAATTTGCAGTTACCGACCTGCTCCAGCTACCTGGATCTAGCACGGTGAGGGCACCCAGAGTAGGTTAAACAAAGCCATGATGAACTGGACAAGATTTCTGTTATTGTGATCCTGAGATGAATGCCAGCCACACCAGCTGACAGTTTAATTGTCACGGCGCTTCCAAAGGAGGGAACACTTGGCTGGCTTCTTTCTTATACATTGCAGCTTGGGCCAGGTTCATAATTCTGCTTTGTAGACTGTAAATAATCTCTTTGTTCAAAGCAATCTGTTTATTTTGGTGTGTCTAACCCAATGATCAGCATACACGGCTCTCCACAACTTTCTCTTCAGTTCATCTTTTACTCTTTCTTCTCTTTCCTAGGATAGGGTAGAAAAGGTGAGAGAGAATATTTGAAAAGTCTTAAAAAATTTTATCGAAATATAGTTGATTTACAATGTTTTAGTTTCAGGTGTACAGCAAAGTGATTCAGTTATACCTATATACATATATCTATTCTTTTTTAGAGCCTCTTCAATTATAGGTTACTACAAGATATTGAGTATATCTTGTATGCTGTATACCTGTGCTGTATAGTAGGTCCTTTTTGGTTATCTATTTTATATATAGTAGTGTGTATATTTTAATCCCAAACTCCTAATTAAAAGTCTTTAAACAAAAGCAACGTGTGTCTGAAGTTTTTAATACTCAAATGTAGGTCCTTTTAGAACACATGGTGCTGGATGAACCTTGAATGTATCTTTGTGTTTATTTCTCTACAATTTTGTATAGCAAAGGAGTGAGAATGTGGGGGAAGAAGAGAGAAAGGAACTGTCTTCACCGAGTGCCTCTAAGTACCAGGCACTGGGGTGGGTACTTTGCAGATATTATCTCATTTAAGGCTCACAACAATCTCCAGAGTTAGGTACTATTATCTCATTTTATAGATGAGGAAATTGAGATAGAAGGCTGAAAAGACTTGCCCAGGGTCATGAAGTTGGGATTCAGAGCTAGAACTTGAACCTGTACACGGATGTCGGTACCTGATACAAATGGAATAATAACAATGAAATACTTTTTAGAAATCAGCTAGGAATGGAACTAAAATACGTCCAAAACACTGGAGGCATATATTACCTCTTTGCTAGAACAAGGGCTGACATGGTCTTTAGAAACCTTGAATTTCGTTCTTAATGGAGACTTATAAGCGTAAAAGGAACCGCAGTTGTAGCTGGAAGTTGCCGCCTGCAAGTCTGCTTTTTTAGACTCTGTCTTGCATTAATTAACATTCCCAGAGCTCTTTAAGATACAAAGATAAGAGCTGTCATAGGCCTGACATCCTGCTCCCAAAGCAAGGAAACAGTCTAGAGACATCGCATGGGCCTGGCTGCTGCATAGGTGTGTTCCAACAGCTTGCATGGTATAGGGAAGGCCCTATGCTTTGGAGATGCACCCAAACGGAATTCTCTGTAGGGAGATTTCAGTGCTTGGGCAGAAGGTTCTCACTCTCATCAAAATAGAAATGCTCTTTGGAGGTATTAGTGATTATCTGTTACTTTCACCTGAGTGGGAAGGAATTTCCAATTCTGTCCAGAGATCAGTTTTGGTTAGAGGAAGAGAAAACCAAAGGACCTCAGGTGCCAGGGGCTGGGAAGAGGGGGGTGCATACAAAAGCAGTGAAGTCCAAGACCAGCTCTACCCAATCCCATGTTTTGCTTGGGGTTGGTCCTTGGAATGAAACAGTATTTTAATTCTCCAGCTAAAGGCCCAGGTACAGGCACTAACTGCAAACAGGGACTGGAGGCTTGGAAGTAGATGGAAACTTCCAGGGAAAGAAAATATAAGCACAAAGAGTGAGCAAAGGGCAGAAAGGTATTTCAGAAATCGAGGTCAAAAGGATTTCCTAGGGCAGGGGGTAAAGAGAGGGAGCCAGGAAACAACAGTAAGAGAACCACGTGTGGCGGGAAGGAGATATAGAACCATCTCATGCTTTTTGACTGTTGGTGACAAGACACACAAAATGCTGTGTGTTGTCCTTTTCACCGTGATAGCCTTTACTTTCCTCACAACACCCCTGCAAAGTGGCGTTACTCATTTTACATGGGGAAGTTGAGGTTGGAGAGTAGGAGTGCCACATCTGAGTTTGAATCTTGGCTCCGGCACTCATTTGTTTTTTTATTTTATTTTAGTTTAGTTTAACATCTTTATTGGAGTATAATTGCTTTACAATGGTGTGTTAGTTTCTGCTTTACAACAAAATGAATCAGTTATATATATACATATGTTCCCACATCTCTTCCCTCTTGCATCTCCCTCCCTTCCACCCTCCCTATCCCACCCCTCCAGGCGGTCACAAAGCACCGAGCTGATCTCCCTGTGCTATGAGGCTACTTCCCACTAGCTATCTACCTTACTTTGGTAGTCCATGCCTCTCTTTCGCTTTGTCACAGCTTACCCTTCCCCCTCCCCATATCCTCAAGTCCATTCTCTAGTAGGTCTGAGCACTCATTGGTTGTGTGACCTCGGAAAGTGTTTGACCTTCTCAGCCTTCTTTCCCCCTAGTTACAGAACAGGGGTGAGAGTTCCCCCCCCTTCCATGTTTTAGAAGCTATTCATTTCACACTTAAATGCAGATGATGACGATAATGATGGACATTATAATAGTTTACATTTATTGAGTAATCACTTTGTGCCACACACTGTTCTAGGCACCCCCCATATATTAACATATGTAATCCTTACAACTCTGTTAGGTAGAGATGATTTGATTCCCATTTTACAGATGAGGAAACTGATGCACTGTGAAGTTAAGTAAGTTGCCCAAGGCCCCCTAGGTAGTAAGTGGGAAAGAGAGGCACAGATAAACCCCTGGGGCCTGGGTAGTGTAGATTTGCAAGGATTGGGGGAAGAGCTGGCCTCGTGCCACCAGTGGGCCCTGCACAGTCTTTGCTCAACAGGTGGGAGCTCAACAGGTAGTGCTGACAATGATCAGTTTCTTCGTCTAGGTCCTCCCTGTCCTGGTCGTCTCCTCCAGAAGCTTCTCTCTCTGTCTCCAGCCTTGATTTCCTTCTTGCTGGTTTTCAGCTGCAGGCCTTGTGATCCAGTTCACCTCTTCTGGCCAGGCTTTCTCTCCTCAGTCAGGTCTTGATTCCGTCATCTGTCACCAATCCCCACCGCCACATGTCAACAGACTCCCAGTTTCCTGTCTTTTGCTCCTCTGGTTTCTCTATTTCCAGGCACCCCATCACTGTGTTCACTTCTCGGGGTCTGATCCTGGGAGGCAGATTACACTGGCTTCAGCTCCCTAAACAGTTACCTCCAGGAGCACTTGGTCCAGGGGGATGTGGTCCAGGGGGATGAGAACATCCAGGGGGATGTTCTCTGATCTGCATGTCAGAGAAGGAGGGAGGTGGGACATGATTGACCTTGAAGAGTATTATACTTTGTCTCCGAGCAACTATTATAAAGGCAAAGCTGGTGTGTGCTGGGCGTGGATAGGGCAAAGAGTCCCAGGAATGTGCACCTGGAGCTCCTGGCCACAAACAGCGTGACCAGACCTGATGATGAGCCCCCTATAAGACCCCAGGCCTTGTTGCTTCAAGTTTGAGATCCAGGGGCAAATCCCTCAATTTAAGATGCTGGAAAGTAAATTGAGCCTCCACTGATGGCCTTCTTGCTGCGGTGCAACTCTCTCCACCCCCACTCTCTGAATTTTGTTTAAGAAGCTACAGGTGATAGTAGTTAAGTCACTGGATGATGAAATTGATTTTAAAAAAAAGCCTCTTTGGTTACACAGGGCAAACCTGGAAGAGTAGAGATGCAGAAAAACCTACACCTCCATCGCCTAAAAGCAGATTAAAAGACTGATGGGAGCTTGTGACCCTACGTAGTGGAACCACCCTGTGCTCACTGGCCTGGGAGCACTGTGCACAGCAGCCGTGGTGAGTAGCTGATGAGATGCACACCCAGCTCGTATCTCAGACACAGCCAAGGCCCTGAAGCCTCCTCTCGCTGCTGTGCTGCTGCCATTTGCACCCTGTGGGTCCTTCCTGGAGAACCCACCCTCCCCTCCTCCGGGCCTGGAGGAGGGAGCAACCTGACTGATTACACCCACCTCCCCCAAAGCTCCTTTTAGAGCGGGCTGTTCCATTTCCCCTGTAGCTTAGCAACCCGAGCCCCTGACAAGATTTACTGAAGAAAAGCTTGACTTTCTCCCAGCAGGTTTTCTTTTTCCTTTCCTTCTCTTTTCTTGTCCTTCTTTTCAAATAATCAGACCTTGACTATGACCAGGTCCTTGTGGATTTCTCCCAGAGATGCTGTTTTCACCTTGCCTGGCTTGCCTGGACTCCTGCACAGAAACCCGTTTCCTCCCTGGTCTTCCAGCATCAGGTCTCACCCCAGTCCGCCTCCATGCTGTAGCCAGATTGATCTTTCTAAAGTTCAGTTCTGATAAGCTTCCTCTCTTGTTTAAAACCCTGTGGTAGCTCCCAGGAGAAATATTCCCACATGGCCCTCCAGCAGTGAGCCCTGCCTGTCTATTAGATGTTACCCATTGTCTGTCACACCTTCACACCCTCTGCCCCCCTGGATTATAACTCTTTCTTGCCTCCAGATCTTTGAATATGCTGTTAAAGCCCTCCTTCTTCTTACTTAGCTGTGAAATGTTCTTCAAGATTCAACTTAAACATTGGCGCCTCTGTGAGCCTTCCCTGACCACTCCCCAGGCAGCAGTGACAACCCCTGCCTTTACTTCTGAGGGTTATATATGGAATTGTCACTAGACTGTGAGCTCCTGGAGGGCAGGGAGTATTTCTCATCCTCCAAAATGTGGCCAGTGCCCAGCACAGTGCCTGATGCATAGAGGGTGATCCACACATAATCAGATGTGTGAATGAGGGATACTGGAAGGAAGGAAGAAAAGAAGGAAGGGAGGAGGAAGGAAGGGAGGAAGGAAGGGAGGAAGATGTCATGGAAACAAGCGAGTTTGAACATCCAGTAGGCAAGATGCAAGGGTATAGGGAAATGGAGCCCAGAGTGACGCCTAGCCACCAGGACGAAAGCGGCTTCTCTTTGATTCCTGGGACTAAAACTTGTGGATCAAAGGCAAAGCAAGGTGGGCTTCTGGAGGCCTGGCACAGGTACACGGTAAGAGAAAATGCAAAGCCACACCAGTTGAGCCCATTTGCTTCCGGATCTTTTGCTCTGCTCTGAATCACAGGGAGGCTGACCACTAGAGGCTCCGTGTCAGTGGCTTCTGGCTGGGTCTGACCAGTCAGAGGTGTTGGTGGGAAGCTAGGGCATTTTGGGCACTGACTCTTTTTGGGTCTCTGGTACCGGCCAGATAGGTCTGCTACTATTCCAGCGTTTGGCAGGTGACCCTCGCCCCTGGGCTCAGGTAACGCTGCCTGTCTCTCTCTCCTCGTCCCTCTAGTCCTTGGGAGTGATGGTTGCTTCCAGCCTCTCAGGGTTGCCTCATCATCCCCTGATACATTTACCAGCTCCTCTGTCACGCGTGTAACTAATTCCGTGCATTAAATCCCCTTCGTTGTGAGTATTCAGTGCTTTCTGTTTTTTGGTTGGACCCTAACTAATATACCAGCTGAGTCTAGGGACCCCACTAAACTGATAGTGAGGTCACTGATGCGTACCTTGGAGGGGGTGGTATATTTCTGTCTTTTTTCTGGTTTATGATGGGGTAAGGGTATGCGGTGTGTATGTTTAAACCGGATGGGTGGGGGGGTTGGATGCATTTGTTTGGTTTCCAGACCACACTGCTGCTCACTTTGAGCTCTGAGGGCCCCCTGTGCACGGTCTCCACCCAGTGGTTCCACCCAGCCCCCTGCCCCTGGGGAGGAGTTGGGGGTTGGGCCTCTGCCCCTGAGTTCCAGTTGGAAAAGTAGCCTAAAGGAGGATGTCGGGGAAGCAAGGAGCTGGTGAAAGGAAAGAGAGACTGCGAGGCATGAAGAAGGAAGGAAAGGAAAGGGAAAAGATGGGGAAGAGAGAGAATGGAACAGGTGTATCCATGTTTATCACAGTGTCTGCACATAGTAGGGCTCAACTGATATTTGTTGAATGAATGAAAGATGAGAGGAAGTAGAAGGAACAGGTGGGGTGCACGGGTAGTACTAGCAAAGAACAAGGGGAGCTCAGTCCCCATTCCCACTGTGTCGTCACCCTACTTCAGAGCCTCTGAACAGTTCACCTACGACAGCAGCTTCCTAACGGGTTTCCTCCACTCACCCTGACCACTGCTTCAGGGACTTTTCCAAAATCACAATCTCAGTTGCTTGAGCCAATGCTTTAGTGGCTCCTAGAAGTGTAGAGATTAAATTCTGTTGTGTACTTCCAAGCACCATCTTCTACTACCTGCTTTCAGCCTGGACTCTTCACGTTGTTCCCCACTCCTGGAACGTCTGGGAGGACCATTTATTTATAAATGACCTGCTTCCTCTCTCTCTCTCTCTCTCTCTCTCTGTCCTTTTAAGGCCTGGGATTCTAAGGGATTTGAGGCAGGCCTAGGGAACAGAAAGTTAGATAATGAAACTCAGATCTGGCCCTCAGCCCCACCTCCTGCTCTCCCATAAATTCCCTTTGTCTCTTGAAGAGCCTGGGATGACGGTCCCACTCCAGCAGCCAGGAGGTCACTGCGATGGTTCTCACACCCTGGGCTCCTGAGAGAGCATGTGGAGGATGGGATGCGGCAGGCTCTTGGTGCACAGAGGGGCCCAGCCCCCCAAGGCAGGCTTTGTTCACGCTCACAGAAGTCTCATGGTGCCTGCTGCTGAGCTGTGTGCCCAAGCAGTTGTGGGGACTGGCACTGGGCAAGTGAGGAGGAGACAGAGGAGCATGTCAGGTGGTGCTTCCCCACAGCCCGGTGGGGCAGCCTGTGACTGCATGGGAAGCCGAGCTGGGCCGTAAAGAATCTTCTGCTGACTTTGCCAGGAAAACTAGAGGACACCTGGTTCGACCACACCACTCAAATGCATTCCAGTTAACATTTGCAAACACACGTGGCGTGGCACGGCACGGCGGGTTTGATTTGCACAGACCTGGGTGTGACTCTGCTACTTACCAGCTCTGCAGGCAAAGTCCTTAATCTCTCATTTTCCTCATCTGTAACATGAAATAATAAATACCTTTGTTACAGAGTTCCAGGTATTTGGCACCTGATAAGGCTTCAGTAAAAGGACACTCTTATTATTACTGCTATTTATTAATTTATAAATTATTTGAGACCTCTGGGGGCTGAACTCTGTGCTTGGCCTTGAGGCTACACGGGAAGCCACAGAGAAGAATAAAAAGCTTGTCAGTACTTTAGGGAACTGACAGTCTAGAACAGGGTGACCAAAGTATGGCCCTTGGGCCAGTTCTGGTCTAGTGCCTGTTTTTGTGAACAAAGCTTAATTAGAACACAGCCAAGTCCATTCAGTTACACAGTGTCTATGACTGCTTTCATGCTACAGTAGAGGAATCAGGTTGTTGCAACCATACAACCTACAAAGTCCAAAATATTTATCATCTCGATCTTTATAAAAAGAGTTTGCTGACCCTTGGTCTAGAGAGGAAGATGGATATATAATCAGGATGAAGCCAGTTGCAGGAGAGTGTAAATTACCTAAACTGATGGCCCAGAAAAAGAGAGAATCAATTCTGACTTGAGTGGGCATTAGGGTTTTAATCCAGGCCTTGAAGGCGGAGAAGGAAATTGATCGCCAGCACCTGGGAGTGGGGAGGGGTGAGAATAGGCAGGTCAAGATGACCACAGGGGTTTTAAAGGGAGATCGTGCACATGAGGATGGAAGAGACTAGAAATTAAATGGCTAGTTCACTTTGGAGTCAGAACTTAAACCTAGTTCAGTGCCTTGTAGGATTTATTGTACATTACTTTATAGTTAGATAGCATTTCGTAAAATGCATCAACACGCATCAATACATACTGTCTGATTTAATCCTCACAGTCACATTAGGAAGTAGGTATGTCTAATCTGATTTTACAGATAAGGGACACTAAAAAGAATAAGGATCACTCAGCCAGGAAGTAGCAGTGCGGTGCCTTGAATGCAAGGAAGGGGCCTATGACAAGGGTACAACGCCAGCACAGGTGGGAACTCTGTCATAGGAATATGTCCCGGTTACCTGATGCATGACGTAAATGATGCCCTAAAAACACAGGCAAGGGAACCTTGGGCCTGCACAGCTGGGGGTTATTCAAAATTCAGGATATCTTTTTCTTTTCTTTTCTTTTTTTTTTTTTTTTGTGGTACGCGGGCCTCTCACTGTTGTGACCTCTCCCGTTGCGGAGCACAGGCTCCGGACACGCAGGCTCAGTGGCCCTGGCTCACGGGCCCAGCCGCTCTGTGGCATGTGGGATCTTTCTGGACCGGGGCACGAACCCGTGTCCCCTGCATTGGCAGGCGGACCCTCAACCACTGCACCACCAGGGAAGCCCCAGGATATCTTTAAGATCTGTGGTGTTTGTGCACAGAGTCAGATGCTGAGAGAAGAGCCCAGGGAAGTATAAGATGAGCCTGTGCTGACCTCCAAGAGCTGTGGGTTCAGTTGAGGACAACCCTCAGAGTCCCCTAATGGTTTGAGGCTGTTCACGTCAAGTGACCAGTGTGTGGTGCTGACAACAAGGGCACGCGAGTCAGAGGCTGTATCAGGAAGGCTCCATAAAGAGTGTGGGGCTGGAGCTGAGGCCTGGCTGATTCTATGCCATGGATGAATTCAGGCAGCCATCTCCTCATATCACAAAATCCTCATAAAACCATAGAACCTCAGAGCCGGAAGGGACCCCTGTCCTTCCTATCAATTTACAGATGGGAAAACTTGAGTCCCCAAGAAAGGACCAAGGTGCCTAATAAGTATTGATATGGAGTTCAAACCCAGAGCACTGTTTTGTCCCTTTCCTCTGAATTAACCCTGCAGACTTCAGGTTTTC